GAAGGAGGATGGGAAGAGGGAGGGGAGGGGGAGTAGCAATGCCTTATTTTCTTGATTAACTGTCCCCTGCATTAATTTCAAAATTGGCTTTGTTGATCTGGTGTTTATTTGACTTTAAAATTATTCGAGACTGAAGTTTATTGGACATTTTATTCACTATTTTTCAGAGCCAAATATATTATTAAAGATAAAATTATACCTAAAGTTAATTATACCTCGAATATGAATTCCTCAAGGGTTTAATTTACAAATCTACATGTACTCAGGAGTACCTGGTATTTATTCAGGACATATGGTATTATATTATCAAATAAAAATTTGTTTCTTCCATTAGAGTCAATCCACTTTTGAGTCAGTACAAATACCGTGATGATGCCCTGAAAGCTGTTACTTTGCCACTTGGCCCAATAGGTACGTATCTTGCATTTCATGTAATATTGCTGTACAATGGACCTTTTTGACTGTGTCACGCAATGTCAACATTTTTTAAAATTTTTCTTGTTAACAAGAAGGCTCCTCCATAGATCAATTGATCATGCTGAGTTTCATTTTAATTTGTAAATATACAAAGTTTCAAAAGAAACTGTAAGTTGCAGACTCCTAATCTACACAGGTTGCAACGTTACTCCCTGGAATGCATTTCTTTGTACAAATTGGCCAGTTTGGTGTCACGTATTCTCATGATTTGGCAAAGGATTCTTATGAAACTTGGCATATTTACTAAATTCAGTATTAATTAAATAAAAATATAATTATCGAGTGCACGGCTTATTCTTTGTTTGAATGAAAACTTTGCAAAAGCATAACGTCAAAAAGGTCCATTGTGCATTTATCATTACTAGCAGGTGATTTGCTTCAGTCTGCTTCTGTAATTTAGTATACAAGTACCAAATGACTGTGCTAATTAAGTCATTCTCTGTCATTCTCCATAGGAGGGGGTAGTATAGCCTTGGCTGGTGATGGAGGTCTGCGTCAGTGGCAAATCACTAACACTGTAAATCACGTAGCTCATGTTCCTGACTCTTTCTTTGCCATACGGTGTGTATATTACATACTTATTAAGATAACATGCATATTTATAAAATAACTGAGCTAGTATGCATGCTCATTGGTCGATAGGTGTGTTTAGTTGAGATTATATGAGCATGGTTGTGATGTTTTAGATTTGCACTGCCTTATTTTTGAGAATTATTTTATAAATTAATAAAGCAATAGTAAGAGCACTTTTTCCGTGTTGACATAGCCTAATCGAAACACTCGGAGAGTTGGGAGAATTCTTGAAAGTTATGTAAACTCGCGACTACGTCTCGGGCTTGCGTAACTGTCTTGAATTCTCCCAACCCTCCTTGTGTTGAAATGAGGCTATGTAAACAGGGAAAAAGTTCTCTATGGCTTAAATGTAGTACATGTACATTGTCCATTTCTCTATGCATTATCGACACCTCAGAAATGAAGGAGACTAAAAATCAAACTGGTTTAAGTATAAACCTCAAGCCAGATCTAAATTTTACCCTTCCAAACATTTTTACACAATGTAAGCTCATGATGTGCACACATCATGGTATGACAATGTTTAATATTTGAACGCTGTGGTCTTGCTAACCCTACAGTATACTTAAACTATTTTAAATGGAATATTGCATTATTTTATTTACTTATTTTATTCTTTACCTTAGCATGTTGAAATATATGCAGTGGAATTCTGATTTTTTGAACCCCCAAGCAGCGGAAACAAAAGTTTGTTTGAAAAATTGGCAAGTTCAAGAAATCAGGGGTAAAATTACGCACAGAGACAATCTTTGGTTTGAGTTATTGAGAGGTTCGAAACATTGAGGGTTCAAGGAATTGGGATTTCACGGTACATGAGATCAGTCACATTTATTACTGTAGCAATCAATTAANCCTTTGGTTTGAGTTATTGAGAGGTTCGAAACATTGAGGGTTCAAGGAATTGGGATTTCACTGTACATGAGATCAGTCACATTTATTACTGTAGCAATCAATTAACTGGTACTTTAGGGAGGCAGCGTGGCCGAGTGGTTTAGGGCGCAGGTGTTGTAATCCAGGTGTCCTGAGTTCAAGGCCTCCACCCTGCCTCCAGCGGGATTTGTTTCTCGTTAGTCCCGAGTTCAAATCCTTAATCACGCTTTATAAATAGCCAAGTGGTCTGCCTCCTACCAGTTGGGATTTTTAACTATGTTGCATTTATTTAAAATCTTTGTTTCCCTTGTTTCAGTGGCATGCCTGTAAACTAGCTAAGCTTAGTGCTTTAATGGCTAAGTACATTACCACTATAAATAAGATTTACATTTACAGTTTGTTACTTTTCACTTGACCTTAGAATAATGTCAGTTGTTTGCCTTTCTTCAGAGTGGACCAGGGAGGTAGTAGCAAAGCTGTTGTTCTCCAGTCCAGCTCCTGGTACAACGACGAAGGATTCACACCTGCAGCTTATGTCACAGACCATGGTATGTGCAATTAGTGATCTCATTTATAACTATAAACACTTGATGACTGACCCCATGGGAAACAGTGAGTTTGTTTCCCTGAGATCCTCAGTGTTCCACAAGGCAAAGGTGTAGGGAATGGTCATTAAAAGTCAAGGTGAAACAAAACTCACTGCTTTCCTTTAGGGCCAGTCATTTAGAAGTGTTTTGTTATACCTCCCAACTCAAGAATAGAACAAACTGTGAAAAAATGATTATTGGCTTGATGCCAACTGAAACACAAATTTGCTGCAGTTTCAAGGTGCACCACCTGATTACATTGTACGTGCAAGTTGAAAGTTCAAGTTGTTGTTTCCCTAGGGAGTTAGTGAGTTTTGTCTTTGGCATATGAAACGTTCTCCTTCAATGTGAAAATGTATTTGAGTCGGGAGGCATACATGTAACAACAGCCTTTAATTTGTCACAGCAACAAAGTCGTTGACTTAGTGATTAGTTTGTTGAAGAATTAAGTGAACATTTATTCAGACACTCATGACAGACACTGTAGTTAATTCTGTTCACTAAATTGCTGTTACATGTATTGTACCTGTAGGTTTAAAGTTTGTAATAACCTCTCTTTCATAAATGTTTACACTAATATTTCAGGTAGGTATCTATCTAGTTACTGTAGTTAATCAATTTTTATGTGTGGTATTTATTCATGATTAAATTTTAGCAATAATAATTTGAAAATTGTTTTAATTAATTATTGAATATTAGTTCTTGGGTCTCTCATTGTAACGATTTTTTTTTTCAAGTTGTACCTGAGGGATCCAAAGATCTTCTTTGTGAACTTCCAGGAATTAAGGATTTGGAAGTTACTGCAAAATACCCTATTGCAGAAGGTGTGTCACAAACATGAATAAAATATTAAACAAACATTTACCATGAATAGGTATCTTTTTTGATGCAGCTTCATTGTCAGTGGTAATCTTGTTTTAACCTGTAATTTTCTAATTTTTCTATTCTTCAATACTCTGCCCTGATTTACCTCAGTCTGTTATTTCTTTTCCCTCATGATTTTTGGTGGATTTTCAAAGTCAGTTTTAAAGTGAACATGACATGGAAAATAATTTCGGCTTATTTGAAAGGCCTTTCAAAATACAGAAGAGTGGCGTTTTTCTTTTCAAAATATCTTTTTTCGTTTTAAAGATATTGACGTTTTTCTATTATGCAAATTAGATCAGTGATGACGTCATATTGTTTGCAAGTAAAAAGTGGTAAAATACTGAATAAATGATATCTCTGGAAATTATCACGCAGTGTTCTCGAAACTTGGCACCACAAATGTGCATCACAAAAGAAACAAAATGACACCCTACGTGCACACATAACAGCATTTTTCCATTTTTTGATTTATGAACAAACTGTTTGCTGGAAAATGTGGCAAATGCCATTCCTGAGCCCCTAAAAATAAAAATGTTCCTGGGGGTGGGGGGGGGGGGGGGGCATGCATTGCACTGATTGGAGTTGGAATAACTGAGCGTAATGCAAGATGTGTTTGTCTACATGTACTCATTAGCTCCCTTGATGTGTTAATGTATGCTAACTTTAATCCTGTGTTTTAGTGGACTACTTGAGTGATGAAGTGCCGCTGACAGTGCACTTGGAGGCATTCAACCCTTGCATCCCTCTGGACTCAAAAAACAGTGGCATACCTGTGATAATCTTTAACTACACTGTCACAAATTCATCAAGCGATGTTGCAAAGGTATAATTATCACACATCTGCGTCTCATCACAGACAGACAGTTAGACTCTACAGCTGTACATGTACTTTGTAACGATTCCTAGTCCTTTAATACTCTGTTAAGCAATTAGAAATCATATTGAATAAGTACTCTTTGTGGACTCTCAATCGTCACTCAATAGGTTTACCTAAATGAAATATTTCTGGCCTACATTGCAGGGTTATGGCTGAAGGAAGTCCAAGACACTGGGGGCATATCATGATTTCCCTAGCTTAGGGTGAACTGAAGTAACTGGGATTACCACTGCTCCCCTGTGTAGGATGCTACCGCAATGCAGGCTACCCCCCTCCCCGCCCCTTCAAAGGATTTTGTTTCCAAATTCTTCTGCTGCTAACAGATCAACACCATGCAGCACGTACATGATTGTATACTCCTGCATAGAGAGGCACTATGAGGGTACATGAAAATTGTCTACATGTAGACCAAGAACACAGCACATCGACCCTTGCAAATGCTGAAACCTAAGCCACTCACTTTAGATCTGAGTCCAATGCAGGAACCATTAGTCTGCCAAGCCACTCATACAGTGTTGCCAGTGCCCAGAAGGATATAAAATATTAATATTGCCATATAAAATATTAATTTTGCTGTATAAAATATTAATTTTGCTATCTTTGTTTGATATCTGTAAGGTTTCACTGCTGGGAACACTTCAGAACATTGCCGGTTGGGATGGAATAACAGAAATTACTTCAGAAGGTCAGTTTGAAATGCGTGAAAGAATTAAACATGGTTATGCACCTTGTTGAGTGTGTGTTGATCAGAAATTATTTTATAGTCAGAGATTGCAAGAAGATTTTAATTATCAATAATGGTAATTAATAAATTACATTTGTTTACTTGACCAGCTGCTTAGCATGTATTAAATTACACAATTGATTTATAAAATAAGTCAATAGAGTGGTTTAGAGGTGCCAAGTAGATTTTTGCCAAGGGTGACAAAAATATTAAACAAAACAAGAAATGATAAGTTAATAAAGATGGTGAATTTTAAGCGCGGTAATGAAATGCGAAGGTGAATTAATCAACATGACACAAGCGTGGGACTAAGAAAAATTCTGAGTCCCCGACAGGAATCGAACCCATGACCTCCCAAACACTGGGTGGGCGCTCTATCCACCGAGCTACGAGAACTCATAGAGAGCAAGGTCATTTAACCACGCTCGTGTCATGTTGATTAATTCACCTTCACATTTCATTACCAAGCTTAAAATTCACCAGCTTTATTAAATTATCACTACTCACGATGACTTCGATAGCGTTGATCCTAGCAGTATGCAGGACACCTGTCATATATGAAGTCAGTTAAATGACCTTGCTCTCCATGAGTTCTCGTAGCTCAGTGGATAGAGCGCCTGCCCGGTGTTCAGAAGGTCATGGGTTCGATTCCTGTCGGGGACTCAGAATTTTTCTTTGTCCCACGCTCGTGTCATGTTGATTAATTCACCTTCACAAAACAGGAAATGTACAAAGTTCTTTTTTGATTTCTCACCATGATTTGCTTCAACTTTGCAATCATAAACGGACCCTAGAGTAACTGAACTTACATGTAATATACAGTCTGCACACTGTGCATTATTCCTGAATCAAAGTTGTGTGAAAGGCATACATGTCTTCTGTCTTCTTTGTCTAATACATGTAGACCCTTCTCATGAATGGCTGCAAGTTTTAAATTATTTTGTATACTAAATATTAGAATTAGCTTGACTAATATCGTTTTGCATTGATAATTCAAAGGAATGTTTACTCTCAAACGAGTTCAGTGAGCCTAGTTTGAATGCACACAAAATAATTTTTAATTGGCAGTCATTTATGAAAAACATTTTATTAGTAAGATTATAATTATTTCAAATATCAAATTTTAGCATAATGCTGTCCATACTAATTTAATTTGCAGTGGAAAATACGGGATATGGAGGAAATCTGAATTCTTTGATGCAGACCAGGTGGGTTTAAAATTCAGTTTTATATTTTTCAAATAAAAAGGAATTAAAATTACCATTACATGTCAAATTTACTCTGAGGTAAGGTAGGTTGTTAAAGGTTACATGTAAGTCTGTATATGAGCTAAGTGGTCCATTAGGCTGGTGCTTATAACCAGTTTCTGTAGTATGAAGCAACCAGCAATATTTCTACTTCCCCCTGGATGGGATGCTAGTCCATCACAGGGTTACCCCCAGCATTAAATTTGCCAGTACGCAGTTATACACCTGGGTGGAGAGAGGAACTGTGAGAGTAAAGTATCTTGCCCAAGAACACAACACAATGTCCCCGGGCCAGGGCTCAAACCCAGACCTGCTTGATCTGAAGACGAGCACACTGACCATGAGGCCACTGCACCTCCCACAATTTTTACTATGAACTGGCATTTATTTCTTTATTGTTTTTTTTTTTTTGTAGTGATTTATTTGGTATCGACATGAGTAACCCATCATTAGCAGAGAGGAGTCCTGGTAATGGACATGTGTCACTCGCTGGTGAGTACAGTATTGTGCATATATTATTAGGTATTTTTCTATTGATGCCGACTGCGCAAGACTTCAATAGAAAACATCGTACAGTCATAATTATGCAGGCAATATGTATATTGCACAATGACATACATGTAGAGTGCATATACATGCATAAAGTTAACGTACATTTATGTTGTCCTTAACTTGTGTCCATCTTTAAGTCTTACTTTGCAGGCCCTTACTTGATCTTTTTGCTCTTTCATGATATGTTTGTGACCTCAAATTTATGTATTTTTAAGATAATAATAGACACGAAAAATTACAGCTTGTTGATTTGCTGAGAGCTCTTTAATTAACCCCATACAGTGCAGAATGTTGAAAATAAATTTAATGATTTACATAATTATTATAAACAAGTGATCAAATGATTTTTCTCAACATGCAATTTGCAATAAATATGCTCTGGTAATTTGTTTTGTGTGTTTGAAAGATCTACTTGTACTTATTTATTTCAAATTGCACTCATTCCCATGTTTCTATTAGTTTTAGAAAACACCCTTACAATAATACACACACTGATTGGTTTAAAATTGTGTTTCTATTAAACAATTAGATTATGAGCTTGAGATTTCTATCACGTCATAGTTGAAGAGGGTGCAGCCAGAGTCAACTATCACGCATAGAAATTGAGAATAAACAATCTAATAAAATAGATAATAAAAATCTAAATAGTATAAATCTACTGGTCATTCCAAACTTAATCTAAATCCTCTTCACAGACACCTCGAAAACGCCAAGAAGCAGCTGTCATTTTGTTAACAAGTACACACACTGCTATGCTACTCACTATCTATCATGGAATAGATAGTGAGTAGCATAGCCAATCAGAGAATGGCATTTGTGATAGAACGCCAATAGATTTATACTAAAACTCGATAGAAACACATGCAGGACTAGCACGAACTCGCAACAGCATGACGTCAACTGCTTGTGCTAAGCCTGTGTCTCTAGAAAGCTCTAGAGTTTCCACATTATTATTATTATTATTATTATTATTATTATTACTATTAGTAATATGATTAATTATCATAATACCAAGGTTTCTTAGCAATACATTGTGTGGTTCTCTAATTATTAGTAATTAAGAGTCCCTGTCCATAAAAATGGAAAATAACTNAGACAGATGGAGGCAGGCAGAGTGATAGGGGCAGACAGACAGACACAGACAGACAGACAAATAGACAGACAGACAGATGGAGACAGGTAGAAAGAAAAGCAGAGACAGACACAGACATCCAGAGATACATGTAGGCAGAAAATTAGATGGAGCCGGACTTAAAGAAAAACAAATAGAAAGACTGACAGAAATATAAACAGACAGACAGACAGACAGACAGACAGTAAGACAGTCACGCTGGCAAACAGGCTGACAGACAGACAGACAGAAAGACAAGCAGTCAGACAGACAGACAGAGTAAAAAGAGAGACAACTCATAACAGTAATGCCCAGAATTAAATCCTGGAATTTGGTTCCATTAACCATCTGATGGTGACAAATGAAAAACAATAAACTCCAAATAATGCTGTTAATGAGATTCGTTTGTTGTCTGCCTCTGTATTCCTTTTTTTTTCCTTTTCAGACCTTCACGTTTCTCTTAGCATGGCATTTTCCACACAGGTATTTACTAAATGTTTCCATTAAGAGAGAGAACAATAGTAAAAGTGTATGAAATTTAAGCTGCCATGGTCGGCCCTGCATTATCAGTGTGTGAAAAAGTTTTTCATCTTGCTCCAATTTTGGCACGGTCAAAAGTAGTTGTGTTAATTCGAAAACCCACAACCTATCTCAGGCCAAATGAAAGACATACCAATATCAGTTTAAAAATAACTGCAAATGGCTTATTGATGTTTATTATATGACTGAAAAAAAAATTACTTCATTGTGATTGGCTGAGAGCAGACCAATTTATCGTTAATTTTTAATTTGCACTGCATTGGAGATTAACGCACGCGCTTTCCAAATTTTCTCAGTCATATAATAAATGAGTAATTGTATGAAAGCTAGAACAGAAAATTATTAAGGATTTACACAACGAATATTTGTAGTGTAAATCCTTACTTGCACTTGCATTCATATGATTACCTATACTTACCGTAAGAGATGCCTTTTGTTTGTCAGATACGTGAACTGGAGTCAGGAAAGCTTTGGCATCCATGACCCCAACACAAACTTCTATATCGGAAACCAGTACAGCAAGTTTTGGACGAACATTATGGAGGTGAGAGACTTCATCCAATAAACATTGTTGCAGTTGTCCTTGGCGTGGCCAGTAATCTTTACCAAGTACAGTGGAATCCTGTTGATATGGTCACCAACTTGCTGGAAAAATCTGGCCGGGAGTTCTTTAGATAAGAAAATGACCGAGGTCTTTTATCAGGCCAGAATAAGGTGGCCGTAATAACGAGGTGGCCATATTAATGGCGTGGCCGTGAGGCGGGGTTCTGCTGTAATAGTGTAGTTCCTGTCAACACACTTATTGTATTGAATTGGGTGACCCCCACCCCTTAAACACCATATTTTTCAGCCACCCACTTTGAAGCCATCTTTTTGCCCCACCCCACACCTCCCTAACTCATAAAAATGGACGGTGCCTTATATATGGAAGCCTTTTTGGCAGGAATTGCGCGTGCGCAGATTTGACTGTTGTGAGAGTTTCATAGTTGATCGTGCATCACCTTTGCCATCTCCTCTTGTTTCAGGTTCTCTCATACACTGTCACAAACATGGATGATCTCACAGCAAAAACCAGGAATTTTCGAGATGATATGTTTGATTCTAGTTTGCCGTGGCAAATGATTGACAGCGCAGCTGGACGGGTGTCTGTTATAAGGTGCGTTATAATTTACATTACATTACCAGTCTACCCAATCACGGTGCAGTCAGAGATTTCATTAACGTTTTCAGTAGGAGGACAACTGGCTTTCACAGGCGGGCAAAACTATTTGAACTGAACTTCTGGAAAAGAAAAACTTTCCTCTAGATGGTCAAACCTGTAACACTCTTGCTAATTATG